ACACTTCCTTCCAAGCTGATTACGCTGCCATCACCCTTGTCTCTGACCCCTCTGCCAGCCCCCGCCTGCCTTCTATTTAGAGTCATTGCTCTGAATTCACCTCCCACCTTCTTCTCTTGACCTTTTCTCCCATGGCAGGGTCATATAACCTTCCCCCGTTATATGATTGTCATCTAAGTGTCTGTTATGTGTTTGGATGGATTATACGATCACCTCCCACCTCAATCTTTGGTACTCTCTCCATCTTTAACTCTGTCTTTTCTTCTCATATCTAATCCAAAGGCAAGTTCTCCCTGACCCTTATTAAACAGTACCTTCAGCACTTTTCTCTCTCCTTGATGAGATTCTTGCCTGCAAAGTCATGCCCAGCTGCACTTTTCCATGTTGATGTTAGTTAATTCTAAACTGCGCAACATGTTATTAAAACTCCATCACCAGTAATAAGATGCAGTTAGTATAGTCTTTTTCTTGCTACCTTTTAGTGTCATTTCTCACTGTCTTCCTTCATGAGCCTTAAGCTTGTATAGAAAGGTCGTGCATTCCTCTGAAGTCAGAACCTCAGAGTGTGAATTCTAGCTTGGCTAGTGCTAGCTCTAGGACCATGGGCAAATCAATTAAGCGGAGCTCTTTGTGTCTCAGTTTCCTCACCTGTAAACTAGAAATAGTCATTGGACCTTCCACAAAAGATCTTTTGTAAAGACTCAATAAAATACCCAAAACAATGTATAGCATATAGTAAAGGTTCAATAAATGGAGTCCTGGTGTGGTGTTGTAGGTTAATGCGCTGGACTACAAAGTCGGTTTGCACCACACGGCTGGGAGTTCAAGCTCACCTTCCGTGCCTTGGAAACCTTATACAGGGTCGCTATAGTGACCTGTATCAATGGCACTTAACAACAAAACAATAATTATGAGACTCTGTTTAAAGAAATTACTTACATTTCCTTTGCACTTTTTTTAAGTTCTTGCCCCTGTGTGTTTCTCATGCTTTTTTGTTGGTGTATTTCCAGAATGTTTTCCTCCTTGATTTTCCACTTGTTTAAACCTTACGCATTTTACAATGCTAGCTGAAACTTCACTGCCACTTCTTCCAGGGAGCTTTCATACAAACCCCCCAGTACCCAGTCTCTTCAGTTAATTTTCATAGCTACCTTTCTAACAACATTTAACCTTTTTGCCTTGTATCTTACGATCCATATTTGTGCCAATTCCAAAGGTTACCCAACAGAATATGGAAATCATTGAATAAGATCATTAATACCACATGCAACTAAAGTTTTGTTGAAGATAATTCAAAAATGGTTGTATCAGTACATTTGCAGGGAACTGCCAGAAATTCAAGCCATATTCAGAAGAGGACATGCAATAAGGAATATCATTGATAATGTTAAATGGAGATGGATCTTAGCTGAAAACAGAGAAGGAGGTCAATTTTGCTTTATTGACTACAAAAGCATTCAACTATGTGGATAATGACAAACTGTTGATAACATTTTGAAGAATGGGTTTTCCAGAACACTTACTTGTGCTCACGAGGAACCTGTACATAGACCAAGAGGCAGTTGTTAGAACAGAGCTGGGAGATACTGAATGGTTTTATATCAGGAGGGTGTGCGTTGGGGTTGTATCCTTCCATCATACTTATTCAATCTGTATGCTGAGCAAATAACCTGAGAAGTTGGATTATATGAAGAAGGACATGACATCAAGATTGGAGGAAACCTCAACAATAATCTAATATGCAAATGACAGAATCTTGCTTACTGGAAGAAAAGAGGACATAAATACATGAAATTCATACTGATGAAGATGAAGGACTATAGCCTTCAGTAAGCATTACACATCAATGTAAACAAAAGGGAGACCTTCACAACTAGATGAAGTAGGTTATGCATTTTCACTTAAATAACTATTAGATTCATTCTTTGTTGAATGACTTAAGAACGAATGAATGGATTCCAGCCTGGTGGGCCCTGGATGCACATGGAAGCCGTGTCACAGTGACTGCAACTCAGACATTAAACAAGTGAGGAAGTCCTGAAATGTAAAGGCTTCTGAATTTCCCTCAGAGTTAAAGTCAAATGACAGCAAAACACTCTGTGGCTAAGTAAATAATGTTCATGACTTTTGTTTTATTTTGCACAACAACAAATCCACAGGCTATTTTCAGGTGCTGAACTTAATTTCTCAATCAATTCACAGAGGAGGACAACAACAGATTGAATGGACCATTAAAAAAAAAAAAAAAATTGAAGGAAAATAAGTGATCACCTTCCCCAGGGTCTTCTTTGAACTGGTTTGATAATAGTTATTTATGAAAAAGACTTTTAAGTGCCCTTTCTGCAGTTGGAAGGATTTCTATCCCAGTGTGGCACTGTTGGGATAACGCACTGGACCTTACAGTCTATTTGAACCACAGGTTGGTGGTTCAAACTCACCGGCTGCTTCTTGGAAACCCTATATAGAGTCACCATGAGTCAGAATCAACCCACCCACTCCTAATGACAACAACAACATTCCTACCAGGGGATGTGAAAACATTAAAACCACAAGGAATTGCCCAATTCAAGCAGACTGCCTTTTTTCAAAGGTGAAGGCTGAATACCAGAAAGATCCAGTGTTCAGCTACTTAAATGAAGTCTTTGGTCAAAAATTACCTTTTTTATATAAGAATACTGAGTGCTGTGTAAATATATATCATTTAGTGCCTCAAGTAGGTTCCGACTCATTTCCACCCTGTACAGGGTTTTCAAGGTGAGCTTGAATCACCAACCTTGTGGTTCAAACCGACTTTGCATTCCAGCACATTAACCCACAGCAGCACTCCCATAAAGATTTACAGCCTCAGAAACCTTATACAGGGTCAATATGAGTCAGAACCAACTCCACAACACATAACCACCACCACCAAATATATATTAAAAAATGAGTGAAAACTTGTGAACTTTTTGACTAGAGTTTTCTTGTATAGTAGCAGAGATAAATATGTCTGCAAAATATGTATGAGGTACTTACTCATACTAAACTTTTTATAAATGTTTAGTTGTAAAGGTAACCCTTTTATACAAAATTAATCAAGTGTGTTTACTGAAACAACAACAACAAAAGAATGAGTGCTCCACTGTCTACTTACCATTTTTTCAAATATGCAAGCACTGTGCAGTTTTAGAAGCTTGCCAAAATTCATACTTCCTTGTTTGGTTGTTTTAAGGAGCCTTGGTGGTATGGTATAGGATAGGCACTAAGTTGTTAACTACACGCTGAGCTATTCAAACCCCCCCAGCTGCTCAGATGAGACTTTCTGCTCTCATAAAGATTTGCGGATGTGGAAAACCTCTACAGGGTTGTAGTGAGCTGTGATCAACTCAACAGAAGTGGGTTTATTTAGTTGATTTTCTTATGTGTCCTAACCTCCCTCTCTTTCCTTTCACCTAAGTTTTCCCCCTTCCCATTTTCCCTCTGATCTCACCTCTTTTCTACTCTACCTGCCCTTTTCTTTTCTACTCTGTCCTCTTTTCCTACAAACATAGTGAAACTCCATGAGCACAGCAGGGATACTTCTTCAGTTCACATTAATAAAAAATAAATGTAGCTTGTAATAGTCATTGAGATACTGAGAAATAAGCTATTGTTAAATAGGAAAAATGTTTATAACTTATTTCTAAACAAAGAGAAATAATCTCATAAGAGCATTGTAATTAGATTTTCTGATTGTTGTGTTATGTTTGGAGTATAGTTTTTGTCTTTCTGGAACAAAGAAAACAATGGTATAGTTAAGTGTCATGCCATCTTTTGAAGGGGAATTTGACCATGGTCTCCAAGAACAAATTCTTAAGTTTGGGGGGTTTCTTTTCTTTTCTTTTTTGTGCTTTGATTATTTTTATCCTGTTAATTTCTTCCTTCTTCTCTCACTTACAATACCATTTTAACAATCCTTTCCTCCAAGATCTTAGCGCTTCTTTTTCCTTATTCGTTGTACTATTTCTCCCTCCTAAATTTGAAAATCTTCTAAAATTTACTGTCATGCTGTATGTTTTCCAATTCCATGTCTTATGTAAATGTCTCTTACTAGACAGATGTTCTTGTGTGTTCTGTTTGTGACACGGTGATAACCATTAAAGTCGATTTCCTAATTAACCATGATGGTGTGCCATGGAGTCAATTCCGACCTATAGCAACCCTGCATAGGGTTTCCAAGGCTGTAAATCTTCACAGGAGCAGAAAGCCTCATTTTCTCCCAAGGAATGATGGTAATTTCCAACAGCTGACCTTGCAGTTAGCCATCCGATATAACCACAACACTACCAGAGCTCCTTTAACTATGAGTCTGTACAAACTAATGTTTTATTAATTTGTATTAATTCATGGTGAAAATGGTTAACATATGTGGCTGCTAGCCAAAAAGTTGGAGGTGTAGGTCTGCCCAGAGGCATCTCAGAAGATAGGGCTAGTCATTGAAAACCCTATGAAGTGCAGTTCTACTCTGACACTTGGGGTCCCCATGAATTGGAAATGGACTCTACAACAACTGTATTTTGTATTGTTGTTGTTGTTTTTAAGTGCTGTTGAGTCAATTCCAACCCATAGCAACGCTGTATAAGGTTTCCAAGGAGGAAGTGGTGAATCGGTTCAAGCCTACTTTGCAATCCAGCGCAATAACCCACAGTGTCACACCAGGACTACGTATTTTGTATTAGTGAATATAAAATTGAATGATAGACTATGCGATGATCTCTGTATAGGACTTAAGGCTGTAAAGCTACCAAAAATGAATGTTAGATTTAAAAATCAACCTTGAATTTTCATTTATGAATATTACCTAAAAAATCATGCAAATTTTAACAATTTAAAAACCTCTCTGTTTCTGCTTTCCTTCCTGGTCTGTAGTAAGTGAACACTTAAGTGTTGTGCAACTGATAATCCAAGTAACAATACTGCATAAGCAGTGTTTATGGGATCCAATTGTTTTCAGCACTGGCATTTGTTTCTTCTTTGTTTAGGGTAGAAATTTTGCATCTGGAGAGGTTGGATTTTTTCCAAGTGATGCTGTCAAACCTTGTCCATGTGTAAGTACCAGTATTTCATTTTATGTTTTTGATGCTGTGATGGATTGTACAAAAATATGCAAAGGACAGTGGCTATGTCTTTCCTTAATATTATTAATATTTACTCGAAAGAGGAATCATATTATTTCATTGTTTAGTGTTAAGGCAATTGCTATTAAATTCCATTATATTATGATTCCATTAGCCCTAATGTTCATTTGTTTATTTTTCAAGTGTGAGGAAATATGCAAGAGGAAATTTTAACTTAATAGAATTAGCAAAATTAGGCTGAAGAAATCAACCAAAGCTACAAATTAGATGTATTGTACAAGTTGACCCCCATCTTCACCACCATTGAGATGCGAGTGTTATTATTGTTGTTAATAAATGCCATTGAGTCGGTTCAAACTCATAGCAGCCCTCTATAGGGTTTCTGAGAAGCAGCTGCTGGGTTTACACTGCTGACTTTGTGGTTTGCAGTCCAGTGCTGATCCTACAGCACCACACCAGGTCTAATGTATTCTCTAGGCACTTCGGATTACAGAGAGGTATTCCTCTTGTGTAACTAATTTAACTAGTGTGCTAAACAACCATGAAAGTCTGTAGATTCTTCAGTCAAATCTCTCAACACATTTTTCTGTGCTTTAGTATGTCATTGCTGTTTGCTTATGTTACATTATGTTATATTATGGCATAATATTCTGACAACATCTAACACATTAAGATGATACAAGGAGAATGGATATTTACTGAAATAATGTTACAATGTAAAATGTATTTTCTGGTGCTTTATGAAATTTATAAATTGGAGTTTAAGGTAACATGATTTTGTCATCATAATTTGATGTTGAGGGTGAATGTTTCTACAACTTGCTAAATTATTTCCTCCAAAGAAATGAAATTTATTAGTAATATAATGGAATTTATGTCTTGGGGTATAAGGAACTCCTTAAAACTGCCCTGCATGCTATATTCCAATCCTTTTGGATTTCTAAACTGGACATACTTTTCAATATTATAAACAAGAATGTCTTCCATTCTTTATTTCAGAATGTAGTTTAGAGGAATTATTGCTCCATTCATATAAGTTTGCTTAACTTAAAGACAAAGGACATAAAAGAACTTTTGCCACCCTCTTGATAAGATTTTTATCTCATGTTAATTAATATATTTTTTTAAAGATTGAAGTTTTTACTACTGTTCCTTAATTAAATAAATAAAAGTAATCCTTTGGATTATTATCTGTCATTTGTGTGAACAAGATTCAGCCTTCATATCCATGATGCAATGGTATGTTTATGTAGGAGGATAACAAGAGATCATACGTTCTAATCTTAAGATGTTTAGGAATTTAGGAGACTCAAATTAAGACTACTAAGACTGTCTTTTACCCAGAATTGTTTTCTGTTTATAGCTCTGGTAGAGTAGTAGTTACGAATTGGGCTGCTAACATCATGGTCAACAGTTCAAAACTACCAGCTGTTCCGCAGTAGAAAGATGAGGCGTGCTGCTCCCGTAAAGAGTTACAGCCTCGGAAACCCTGTACAGGGTCGCTGTGAGTCAGAACCGACTCCACAACACATAACAACAACAGATAGGCATAAAATGATCATTTGATGTTTGATCTTAGAACTAGCCTATACATTGTTTTTGTTGTTATGAAGTGCCATCAAGTCGATTCCGACCCATACCGACACTGTGTAGGGTTTCCAAGGAGCAGCTGGTGAGCTTGAACCATCAACCTTGCAGTTCAGATGGCTTTGCAGTCTGGCTCATTAACCCACAGGGCCACCTAATACATTTTTGTTATTGAATGAATGAACAAATGAGTGCAAAAGCAAATGAAATCCATTAGTTGTATTGCAAACACCAACTAAATCAGCTTATACTGTTAGATTGTGAGGCATTTGGTGAATGAACTAATTAGTGGCTACAAGGTGAAAGTTGTTTTGAAATTTTGAGATAATCAAGACTTAAGAGAAACACAGAATTTTAAAGCCAGTGATTAGTCTTATAGCTTAAAGTTTATAAGTAGATACTAAAAGTTTGCTCCTTAATAAAGCTCATTTATTGGTTGTAAGACAAGTTAAGTGAAGAAGAATGAATGAATGGAAAGAGACAATTGCAAGGGGGATGGTGGTGGTGGTGGTTATGTGCTCTGGAGTCGATTACAACTCGTAGTGACCCTGTATAGGGTTTCCGAGGCAGTAAATCTTTACGGGGGCAGAACGCCTCATCTTTCTCCCACAAAACAGCTGGTAGTTTCATACTAGCTGACCTTGAGGTTAGCAGCCCAACTCGTAACCACTACGCTACCAGAGTTCTTTGCAAGCGGGATTTGTCGTTGTTAAGTGCTGTTGACCTTAGCGACCCTGTATAGGGTTTCCGAGGAGTAGCTGGTGAGCTTGAACCGCTGACCTTGCAGTTCAAGCGGTTTTGCAGTCTGATGCATTAACCCACAGCCCCACACCAGTACACCTGCAAGAGGGATAGGTTGAGGTATTTTGAAAATGTTACCTCCTTTGACCTTGGGACAACTTATTGTTTATCTGGGTCCCATGAACTATGCAGTATTCCATCCTGAGTTGACAGATCCTCCTGTATCTGCTGTAGTAGCGTATTGGTTACAAATCGGGCTGCTAACCTCAGATCAGCAGTTCGAAACTACCAGCTGTTCTGCAGGAGAAAGATAAGGCTTTCTGCTCCCATAAAGATTTACAGCCTGAGAAACCCTGGATCACTATGAGTCGGAACCAACTCCACGGCACATAACAACAACAATATCTGCTGTACAGTTTCCTAAAGACTTCTGAGCTATACAGATAGGAAGATAGATTATAGTAAAACATGGGAGTATAGATGAAGTGGCTTCATTTTTGGCAATATGGTAACTGGAGACCAAGCCTGAAATTTTAGCACAGTGCAAGGGCAGGAGTCTGTAAATCTAGGAACCTTTAGTAGGTGAACTAGGGAAAAACTCATCTCACAGAAGATCATATGCCCATGTTGTTTTTTGTTCTTAGTGGAATAGAAAAGAGAGTGATCCCCCTAAGAATTTCTAACCTTAAATCTTATAACACATGAAAATGCAAATTCCCTCTAAATTTGAGCCTCTTTACACATAGTCCTCAAAGGATTTCACAGATAAAGCTCCAGGAAACAGGAGGTAACAATTTTAAATCATTAAATTCACGAGGAAACAAACCACCTTGAACAAAGGGCAGAAGAAACAGTAGAAACAAGAATTAAATCCACAGAGAGAACAGGTATCAAAATGATCAGATGCAAATAATTTGTTTATGTTTAATTTGATTGAAAAGTGTTTTTAAAAGAATTAAAATCTCACAAGAGAAAAACATCATATTCAAAATGGGACTATTTCAAAAGAAATCAGATAGATCTTCTGAAAAAAAGAATAAAATGAAACCTAATGGACATATTACAGGCCATTTTAGAGACAATTGGAAGCGAAATCTTAAGAATTTTGTCAGATAACTTCCCATAGAGATAAATAAATAGAAAATATAGCAGAGAATGGGATGAGGAAATTCAAATACTTCTTACTGAAGGAGAGGTAAAGATAATTGTAGAGAAACAATTCAACTTGGTGTGGCTTTGTAGGATAAGCAATGGACTGCTAACCGAAAGGTTGGTGGTTCAGACACACCAGTCACTCCTTACAAAGCCTATACAGAGTCACTATGAGTTGGAACCGACTCCGAAGCACTTAACAACAACAAAAACTTTGCAGACTCCATGAAATTTTGAACCTTTATATTAAGATTTCAGAAGAGTAAGTTAAACTCATGAGCTCTGGTGGCACAGTCATTAAGAGCTGAGTTGCTAACTGAAAGCTCTAAAGTTTGAACCCACCTGCTTCTCCATGGAAGAAAATGTGACAGTCTGCTTCTGTAAAAGACTTACAGCATTTAAAGCCCAATGGGATAGTTGTATGCTTTTTTTTTTTTTTTTAATGTTTTATTGTGAATTATGTGATTGTTTACATGGGAGAACATTAGTTTTACATTCATCCTATCGTATATCATTTCATTGCCATGGTTACAATCCTCTCTATTCATCATCAAGCAACCAAAGGGTATACCCTGCAAGCCTGCCCCAAGTCTTCAGCACACAGGCCCTTTCCCTCTCTGGGTCTAAAGTCCCCAGCTGCTCCATTTCTCCACATCATCATCTCTGCCTCCATCTCTGGGCATCACTGCTTCTCTGGGTAGGGTCCCACTCTCTGCTCTTCTCCCTTGATGGTCCCAGAGACCCCTGCTCCTAGACTGCAAAGTTTATCACTCCCCTCTTTGCTACAAAACGTCCACCTTTACGTTTCCAACCCTCACAATCAGTCCTGATAACAATTATTCACTATTGTATCACAGGAGACCCATCCAAATTTCATTTCATCAACCCCACCTAGGAGAGACTGGATATTACTCAGTGGAGATTCTATCTTCCTCCATGCCCTCTGGATCTAGGTTCCCTCTTGAAAGTTTGTAAGCCAGTCACGTCTTGCCTTTGTAGCGCACCACCACCACCGCCCCCCCTCCCCATGTTAGGTAGCCAATGTCCAAGTTGCCCATCCCTGTCTACTCTGTGTATGAAGTGGGTGGGAATGATCCTTGCTATAAAGATTTGTTTCCTCTTTTGAGCTACTTCATCCATAGGTGTAGGGTCAAGTTCATCAAATTGTATCGGATTACTCTTTTTTTCCTCTTCTTTCTTCTTCTAGTTGAGCTCTGACCATCCAGTCACTGAAGCCAGGATAAGTGGGTATTATCTGCAAGTGTGGGTGTTCTTGTGCATATGCCCTCTCTTCTTATCAGCTGGACGCTTCACTTTCCACTCTAGTCCTCTGTGTCAATGTCACTGACTCTGAGCCGAAGAGTCCGAGGTCTTGCTACACTGCTGGCCAACCAGGTCTCCACCCGGGTTCACAGGAGTCTATTGAGCATTGTAGGGCTTACTACACAGCTTCAATGCTATTTTTCCCTCACTTCCCCTTATTGGTGACA